ATTCTGACCATAATGGGATGAGCTGAAGAAGAGATGGATTATGAAACTTGTCATCAGTCCCATTAGAGAGCTCAAGTTAACTAGGTATTTGCTGTTTTGGTTGTAATGTTACAAAAAAGAATAAACCTCTGGTACGTAGCCAGGCTCACAGCATGGCCTAAGGGAAGGCTTGGGGGTATAGGGATAACATTCTGCTTTGCACTTGACTAATTTTAGTTACTGCTGTGGAGGGATCTGGAAGATTAGGTTATCTGATTATTGCCTATAGCCAGTGACTAGGTCAAGTTGAAGAATACTTTCTGAGCAAAGTTATTTTTTGTGAAAGCAAGTGTTTCCATAGATGGCATTTGTGTATGATTTGACATGAGACTCTGCTATTATTTCAAGTACATTTAAACATTTAAACATTTCATCTTTTGTTGTTGTTGTTTTTGTGTGCCAGTTCTAAGGCTTGAACTCAGGGCTTGGGTACCATCCCTGAGTCTTTTTGATCAAGGCTAGCATCTCTTGAGCCACAGCTCTACTTCCTGCCTTTAGGTGGTTGAGATAAGAGTCTCATAGACTTTCCTGCCCAGCCTGGCTTCAAACCATAATCCTCTGATCTCTGCCTCCTGAGTACTTAAGATTACAGGTGTAAGCCGCAGGAGCCCAGATTCATTTTATTTGTATATTTAGATTTTTCTAAAACCGTTTTTTTCCTCCCTAGAAGAAATGCCTTAAAAGTTCTTCCTTTCATTGTATATGAAATTACATGCTCATAATTCATGATGTGATTATGTGTTCAATATTAACCACAAAGCTAGTGTAACAAAATAAAACAGCCTTTTCCTCTAATGACTCATCTTTTTTAGAGGGTGGTTTGTGTGTTAATCTAGAGTGCTGCTTTTTCCTTGTGTTATTTCCGTGTTTGCACACATACAGGAGGGTTCACGAGTGGTGAGAGACTAATGCACTATGTTTTTTTTTTTTTTTGTCGGTCATAGAGCTTAAACTCTGGCCCTGGATGCTGTCCCTCAGCTCTTCAGCTCAAGGCTAGCACTCTACCATTTGAGCCATAGTGCCACTTCTGGCCTTTTCTGCTTATGTGGTGCTGAGGAATCGAACCCAGGGCCTCATGCATGCAAGGCAAGCGCTCTACCACTGAGCCACCTGTATGTTATAGCCCCCCCCCCCACAAACCTTGCCAATGAGGGAGGTTTGGTAACTCATGGGGAGGCGGGGAGATGCCATTTGTCATTGGTATATCCTTTATCTTCTATCTTATCCTGCATTTCCCCTGGCTGACTTAATTATGAGGAAACTATTTTATTAACCATTCTTTAAGCCTGAATGGAAAAAAAAATTCCTGCAATTGCTAACCCTGTAATACCAACAGGTAAAATGAACAACCTCACCCAAATCACCGGTGACTCACACAGGTGCAGCAGACTCAGGTGCAGCAGGAATTCACAACACTCTTCTGCTAAAAGGATAAGCCAGACTTTTCGAATGCCATGGACATTTCCCTAGCTCATATTAGCTTAGTGCAGACCACTAGGGGAAAAAAACCCTACATTTTAAAAATAAAAGTTACTCTCCAAGTGTGATTGGCAAGCCAGTTGTCAACAGCTGCAACAAATTTCATGATTTACACTCTGCCTGAATTATATGCCTATTAGCTACTGCTTGTCATTGGCTTTCTCCTCTGTGCACTGCAGGAATGTCACCCTTAATACATTTACAGAAATAGCTAGTTCATAGGGAAATGTCTTTTTCCTCCTCACTTCCTCCTCCTCCTCCTCCTCCTCCTCCTCCTCCTCCTTCTTCTTCATTTTGGTGCTGGTATTAGGGTTTGAATGCAGGGCCTTTTGCTCTTGCTAGTGCTCTACCACTTGAGCCACACATCTATTTCCCATCTTTTTGCTGATTAATTGAAGGTAAGAGTCTTGAGAACCATGATCCTCACTCAGCCCCTGAATAGCTAGGATTACAGGCCATGAACCACCTCTTCCCAGCAGCTTCCTTCCTTCCTTCCTTCCTTCCTTCCTTCCTTCCTTCCTTCCTCCCTCCCTCCCTTCCTCCCTCCCTCCCTTCCTCCCTTCCTCTCTCTCTCCTCTCTAGCTCTTTCTCTTTTTTCTTTTTTTTTGGTTATGGGGCTTGAACTCTGGGCCTAAACGCTGTCCTGAGCTCATCAGCTAAAGGCTAGTGCTCTACCACTTGAACCACAACACCACTTTCTGGTGGTTAATTGGAGATAAGAACCTTACGGACTTTCCTGCCCAGGCTGACTTTGAACTGCCATCCTCAGATCTCAGCCTCCTAAGTAGCTAGGATTACAGGCGTGAGCCACCAGTGCCTGTCAGGAATAATCATTTCTTTGTTTTTTTGTGTTTTTTTTTGGGGGGGGTCCAGTCGTGGGGCCTGAACTCTGGGCCTGGTTGCTGTCCCTCAGCTCTTCAGCTCAAGGCTAGTGCTCTACCACTTGAGCCACAGCACCACTTCTGTCTTTTTTCTTATGTGGTGCTGAGGAGTGGAACCCAGGGCCTCATGCATGCAAGGCAAGCGCTCCACCACTGAGCTACCTTCCCAGCAGGAATAATCATTTCTTAACAATCTGCTCCATTCTCTTTTGACTCCTTAGCTTAAAAATGTAAACATAAAGGGAGAAAGCTTTTCTTCCTATATGGCTTCCAAAGTACAAGTGAGTGATGAGAGTTACAGTTGTTGGAAGTTTAACAGTGAGGGATTGGGCCTGAGAGTACAATTTGGAGATAGATAGTTTACTTGCCTAGCATACATGAGGCCCTGGGTTTGATCCCCAGTACCTTACCCCTATTCCCAAAGCTAAGAGGATGGTTTTATGATTAATACTAAAAATTCTTTGATAAACAGTCTTTTTTTTTTTTTTTTTTTCGGTTGTGGGCCTGAACTCCGGGCCTGAGCGCTGTCCCTGAGCTCTTCAGCTCAAGGCTAATGCTCTACCACTAGAGCCACAGCATTACTTCTGGCTTTGTCTGCTTATGTGGTACTGTGGAATGGAACCCAGGGCCTCGTGCATGCAAGGCAAGGGCTCTACCACTGAGCCACCTTCCCAGCCCCTGATAAACAGTCTTTAAAAACAAAAAACAAACAAAAAAAAACTTTTGTTTGCCAGACTATATCTTCACAAGCCACTGTTTTGTAAGTCTGAATCCTGTTGAACAACATTCTGTGGGCTATTAAATCGAGACTTTTGTCTTTTTTAATTCTTAGCAAGCTCAAGTGTATATAGAAATCTCTGGAATGTTGAAGGAGTGACATTCCACAAGCTTCAGTTATGTTTTTCTGTTACACATTATATAGAGGAAACAAGTAAACTAGAATGTTTGATTCTCTTTGTTCTTTTAATTCGTCTTCATTTGCTTTCCTTTGGGAGCTCTGTTACAGAATTGTTTGTTTTGTTGATGAATTATTGAATAGGAAAATTATGTTTCAAGATCTGTTAGTGATTAATGATTAATTATCCAAACTAGTATTAAGAGAAAAACATTATTAGAGTATTAAATTACTACTGAGCCTGGCACTGTATTAGTAAACAGCAAAACAATGAATCTATAATAATCTAGATATAGAAACAAAATTGCATTCTTTTTTTTTTTTCCTTCTCCCCTGGTCGTGGGGCTTGAACTCTGGCCTGGGTGCTGTCCCTGAGTTCTTCAGCTTAAGGCTAGCACTCTACCACTTGAGCCACAGTGCCACTTCTGGCTTTTTCTGCTTATTTGGTGCTGAGGAATTGAACCCAGGGCCTCATGCATGCGAGGCAAGCACTCTACCACTGAGCCATCTTCCCAGCCCCTAAATTACATTCTTAAGTATGACTGTCAAAACGGAGTTTTCTTTTCAGTGCTTTAGAGTATAGAGGCATAGACTCTTTTATATTGTCTCTAGTATTAAAATTGCTTAGTATTGGATTTTAAGGTAATTTGAAGGAGTTCTGGAACATTTAATTGTTGCCTAGTCATTCTGCTATGGTAACAAAGCAGTCACTCATGGACTTGAACTAGTTATTCATAAGAGCTAGTTAATTATTTGCATGAGTTTCCTTGTATCTTTTATTTTTTAATTTAATTTTCTCACTTAATTTTTGCCAGTACTGGGGCTTACGCTCAGGGCCTGAGTGCTGTCCCTTAGCTTTTCCCTCAAAGTTGGCCCCTCACACTTGAGCCACAGATCTACTTATAGTTTTTTGCTAGTAGATTGGAGATAAGAGTCCCATAGGCTTTCCTGCCTAGGCCAGCTTTGAACCACAATCCTCAGATCTCAGCCTCCTGAGTAGCTAGGATTATAGTTATGAGCCAGCAGTGCCTGGCTTTCTTGCATACTTTAAATGAGACAAAACAATGTGATTTCAAAGCTAAAAGAAGGATCTGTTTGATTAAAAATAGGTTTTTAATAGGAAAATGTATTCTGAGGCCTAAGTAAACTAACCTATATTGAAGAAATTCTTAAATTGGCTTTTAAAACAGAACTAAATAGGAGCTTTCTTTAATAAGTACGAAGCTTTTTTTTTTTTTGTGCTGGTCTTCGGGGCTTGAACTCAGGACCTACGCACTGTCTCTGAGCTTTCTTGCTCAATGCTAGTGCTCTATCACTTGAGCCACAGCTCTACTTCTGGCTTTTTGGTAATTAATTGGAGATAAGAGTCTCATGGACTTTCTTGTCTGGGCTTGTTTCAAACTGTGGTCCTTAGATCTCAGCCTCCTGAGAAGCTAGGATTACAGATGTGAGCCACTGATGTCCAGCATTACAAAGCCAATTTTTAGGATACCTTTGGGTATAGAAGTGTGTGTATATGATCCAGTGATACCATTCAGCATTGTGTGTACCAAAGTTCATTGATTTTTTTTTTTTGTCTTCTTTGGTTGTGGCACAGAATTGGGGGATGCAGTCATTATTCCATATAATTTTTGAAAATGTTTCAAAGAATACCAAGATTATATTGATGTTTTTATAATTGCATGTTATTTCATGTTTACTTTCAGTTTGATTAATAAGCTTAAACCTGGCATCATTAAGAAGATCAATAGACTGTCCACACCAATAGCGGGTTTGGTAAGTACTATACATTATCTTCAAATCTCAACTTTTTTTAAAGCTGTGTTTTTAATTGACAATTATTGTATATATTCATAGGGAGCAGGGTATTGTATTTGTGCCATAGTGTGACTATAGTTAGTAATGTGTTATGTATTTCAAAATAACAAGAAGTGAGGACTTTGAGTGTTTGACTTCAAAACTGGATTTGTCTTGGATATATCTGAAGATAAGCTCTGTATGAGAAAACATACATGGTTACTGTGTGGTTATTTTGTGCATTCAAGATGCTGGAGAGGCCCATAATAATACAAGATGAGTCTTTGGAAATAATTTATAATGAAATACTATTGATGATAGATAATTTTCAAAAAATTTAGAATTCCTTAAAAATCAGAACTGAGGATAGGAACTAATTTTTTTCCACAGAACACTGAAGTTTATAATTTGAATATAAAAGCACACTAATAAGATCTTCGGAATAGTCACAGTGGTTATAATATATCCCAGAAACTTCTGTTTGGCTATTCATGTGTTCACAACTGTTAATGGCATGAATAAGTATAGACAGCTGTACCAAAATTTCTGGGCTTTCAGGAGGAAAGGAGAGCTCATCCAATCTTGACAGGGCTAAGTTTGGCAAATTATTTATTATTGGAGAATGATAGGAGAGAATAGAGGAGAGAAGAGATGAAATATTTTTAGTCTATAATAGAGAATATATGTCAGCATCAAAACAGTTGGTTCTAAGGTTAATTGCATCCTTCCCTTTATTGTCTATCAGTCTATAGGAAGCTGAACTTAGGTTTTCATTGGTTTCAGTTATTTAGGCAAAAGGCTGTTACAATACAAACACATACACACTCATTTTTCTAATATAGTTGGGCTGTATTTGCTATTTAAGGGATATATTTGTGAAGGTTTTCTAGGAGGAAACAGTTTAATATAATAAGCTTTATATGAGAATGGATTTTATTAAGGAACCTTCATGAAAGTAAAGGTTTAAGTTATATTGGACTATGTCTTTTCAAGTGGCTTCCATTATTCTTTGATTGCTTAATTAATAGTGTGTGTGTGTGTGTGTGTGTGTGTGTGTGTGTGTCTGTCTGTCTGTCTGTCTGTCTGTCTGTACTGGAGCTTGAACTTAGGTCCTAGAAACTATTCTGTAACTTTTTTACTCAAGGTTAGCACTTTACCACTTAAGCCACAGCTTCTCTTCCTTCTTTCCAGGCTGGCTTTGAACCCTAATCCTCAGATTTCAACCTGCTGAATAGCTAGGATTAAAGGCAAGAGCCACTGGTACCTGGCCAATATTCAACATTTTGATTGCAAATGGTCTATTCTTGGCTCAGTCACATGTGTTTTAAATAAAATTAGTCTTTGATTTCAAATGCCCTGCATAACTGAAATGCTTAGATTGTAGTGGTTTGTTATTGTTGGCCACTGTAGATTTTATTAAATTTTCTGATTGTTTGATTAGATGCAAACACAAGTGTATTTTATTTTTAAGCTTAAAGACTTGTTCAACTATTTCTATTTCAAGCATCAGAGATGCTATCTAGTTTGGATTATATTTTTAGAAATGAAAATGATATGTATATCTGCTATATTAAATTGGATGATTTTTTCAAAATATAAGATACTATAGAGTGTCTGACAGATATCCAATGAATAGTCTCTTTCAATAACTTATAGGTTAAGGAGTGTACTAGAGGAACAAAGATGATTATGAACTTGGAATTCAAAGTTGGGGAAGGGCAACTGCACAAAGAAATTAGGAAATGAGCAAGAAAATCCCACAAAATAAATGTGTTACAGAGAACGATAGTAGATTAATGTTTCAACAAATATTAAACATGCATGAACAGTTGTAATAGGACTATAAAGATGAATGGTTAAGAATTTCTTTCTTTTTTATTTTTTTTATGCTAGTCCTGGGGCTTGAACTCAGGGCCTGGGTGGGTGGTGTCCTTGAGTTGTTTGTCCTCTTACCCTTCCCCCAACCCAAGGCTAGCTCTGAATCGCTATTATTTTTTTGTTAGTTGTGGGGCTTGAACTCAGGGTCTAGGCACTGTCCCTGAGGTTTTCTTGCTCTCGCTCTACTGCTTTGAGCCACAGCGCCACTTCTGGTTTTCTGGTGGTTAATTGGAGATGAGAGTCTCACAGACTTTGCTGCTTGGACTAGCTTTGAACTGTTAAAAAGGAAGATTTCAGGGACTTAATTTTGACACTTACTGAAGAAGGATAAACAACCTGAGTCAGATAGATTATTATTATTAGTAGTCTACAGACTACTACTGATTTTCGTATATATAACACCAGCACAGTGGTTGATATATGTAGGAGATCAGGGGGTGTGTGGAGATCAGTGTGTGTGTGTGTGTGTGTGTGTGTGTGTCCGTCTATCCGTCTGTCCTAGGGCTGAACTCTGGGCCAAAGTACTGTCTTTGAGCTTCTTTAGCTCAAGGCTAGCTATCTATCATTTGAACTATAGCTTTTTGGTGTTTTAATTGGAGATAAGAGTTTCAGTCTTTCCTGCCTGGATTGGCTTCCATCCTCAGATCTCATCCTCCTGCGTAGCTAGGATTACTAGTGTGAACTACTGGCACTCAAGGAGTTTTTAAATGAATGAATGAACAATATTTCTGTTGTGAAAATTAATAGATTTTTGTATTGGATTTTGATGAGTGTGCAGGATTGAGATGTATCTTCAGTCCCCCAAAGAAAGATACAAGGAAGTTCTAACCCTCAACATCACAATGTGACCTTGCGGAATAGCATTGTTGCAAGTGATGTAATTAGTTAAGATCATATTGGGATGGAATGGTCCCTAATCTCATAGGACATATGTCCTTATAAAATGATGGTTGTGTGAAATCTTATGCACAGGAAGAATGCCATAAGAAGAGGCTGGACTGATGTATCTATAACTCAGGAAATGCTGAAGATTGCCTGGGAACCACCAAAAGCTAGGAGGGCACAAAGGAGTTTCCCCTGCAGGTTTCCTGTGGAGTGTGCTTTGCCTCGATTTTGGGTGCCTATCCTCCAACATTGTGAGACAAGTGATCTCAGTTTTAAGCCATCAAGTTTGGTGTGCTTTATTATGTTAGATAAGCCTATGAAATTGATATTTGTAGGTGAGAATTTTAGTTAATACTTGCTTTGAAAAATGACCTTTCAACTTTAAAATGATTTTATGTCCCCTGGAAGTTTGCAAAAAGTTCAGAGGTCCTTGTTCACCCAGTTTCCATCCAAGTATCCCCTTGAGTAACTCTAGCATGGTATCAAAACTATGTAACTGATATTGGTAGAGTCCAAAGGCCTTAATCAGATTCCATCAGTTTTACATGCAGTGAATGCTTTTGAGGTACAAAGTATAAAAATGATTTCAAGTCAAGTCAAATGAAGACTATTTTATCTTGGGGATTTATCAGAATACTTTCCCATTAATCCAATGTTCAATCTTAAACATTGCTGTTAAATTCTACTTGGCTACTACTTTATTTTGGTCTCTACTAGGAGACCTTTTGTGTCTCTTAGTTGAGCTCCCAAACAAAGACTCTGTATAACCTAGGTCACACCCACTTCTACACAGGCCATAGGTCACCATAGATGAGTTCTTTAAGAAAATAATTGTCTTTGCCAAATGGCATGTGGCCAAGGGCATTGATTTCCTTTGGCTCATTCAGCTGAGGTATGATGGTTGGAGTGGGTTCTGTGAAAAGCTAATTATGTAGGGTAGATACACCTAGGCAAGTCAAACACAGTAATGATTTTTGTGGAGAGGCATAAGCTAAAAGGCTGTGGAAACCCAAATCCTCCCTTCCATGATTCTTTTCTAAGTGCATTTTATTATAATTTTCCAATTTACCTCAGCCATGACATACCATGTATGTTTGGCTTTGAAGTCAAGACAATAGATTTATTCTTATAGATGGACCTATAGGAAAGACAGTGGGGACTGTTCCCGTAGCAATGATATTCCAGACCTGTTTAGATGATAGAGAAATACATTGAAAGCTTTGCAGAAAACATTTATATGTTTATTTTCTCTGGGAGAGTAGTCACTAGGTTCTCTTGTATCTTTTAGAGATAAGAGATTTTCTCATTTGAAAAACTTTTATTTTATTTCCTGAAGAAATAGGTTCTCCTTACCTTTTCTCTTCTTTCTGTTTTTTCCAAAGCCATGTTTTTTTTTTTTTTAAATCTAACCCAAAAGTTTAACATCCAGAAATTAGCTGTTGTCAAATGTATATTGAACACCTTGAAACTCAAAACTAAAACTTTATCCAGGTAGTAAAGAGAGCTATTGAAGCAGAATAATGTTTATATTTGATATGTTAGTATGCCTGAAATACAATCTGTGTAGAAACATCAAGGAAATTATTAACCTCAGTCTTATAGTTCTTTTGGACACCTAGTAATATATTGCATTTAGGAAAATCACGCACTGTGGTCATTTGGGTAGATATAAGCAGGTATTTCTATGTGCTGTCTCCTTGTGTTTTGTGAATCTTTACCAGCAGCCCTGATGTCTATTTACCAGGTGATGGAGGTGTACTCTTTTCCCACCATTTATAACAGCTAAAACTGGGTTCTAATTTACATGGACTGAATAGATTTGGTTGATTTCAAATTTTCCCTTGTAATTTTCAGTTGAAAAGGAATGATAATTTCAGAAAATTTGGTTAGAATAATTTGTTTGAATATCTATGTCTATCAGTGGGCTCAGTAGAAAATCTCTAGCATATTCTCATTTGTATTAGATAGGGGAACTAATTTGAATGTCATTGCTGTTGAGTTATACTTTTGGATTTAATGCAAGGAGTGAAATGTATTGGGTGGACTTAGAGGCTGGGAAGGTTGACTCTGAATTCAGCAATGCTGTGAAGTGTAGGAAATGCGCAAAGATCCAGGCTGGTTTACTCAGTTGTGTGTGTTAATTCCTCTTACCTTCTTGATGGCTGCTTCAAGAAATAAGACACATCTGTATGTCCATTTGTGCACCATTTTCCGGA